TCTCAGCAGGAGGCTGCATGGCAGGAGATGGAGGTAGCTCCGTCAGTTTCATTTGGGATTCTATTCGGTTCCAGAAAGCCGTGGGGATTGCATCAAATGTTGCAAGGAACTTGGTCTCCCAATTGTTCATAAATGATTCTGTTGGTGTGTCAGCCATTTTGACCATGCCACAAGGGCTTGCTGTGGCTGGGCAGACTTTCACGGTAGTGCTGTGAGCACTCAGTAGTAGTTCCCCCAGTGGGGACAGAGATATCGCCCACCGGTCCAGGGGGACAAAGGGGTATGCTGTTTAATAGCATAGAACAGTGGTAGTTGGTATAACACCATCAGAAATGAGTGTGCTTAGTGTCCTGAAGATCTTTTCCTTCCATAATTAGGTTGGCTTGCTTGAACCTGTCCACCTCCAGATGCAAATCATTGTGTCTGCCTTCTGCGGTGTAACTGTCATATTCCAGTGCCTGCAGCCAAGCGGTCATAACTACCATGTCCTCCTGGACAAGCGTAATATCAGCTGCGAAAAGAGCCTTGAGTTATTTGAAGAGGTTCTGAATATCAGCTTTACTTGATAGTAAGCTCCAGTGTTGTTCTGGGACTTGCCTGCTTATCCCTTTGCGTGATCATCAGAATCACTCTTCCTTGATGTATAATCTGAGAGTTCCCACGCGAGCACCATCTCGGCAGGCAGTGATTATGGAGTCAAGCGAAGCAAATGGCCAATATCTTTAGAGGAGGTAGTGGTATTATTCCTGCAAATGTGTTATTTCTCTTCCCATAGCATCCAGTAAAGTTTATAGTAATAGTCAATCCCTTTTTTGTATTGAAATATGCTTGAATAGAGACATGCTTCTCTCCGTTTCTAGCTCCACCTTTAATAATAATTTATTTTTAAATAAGAGATGAATATACTAACAACCATTAAAATTGATAACATATAGCATATAGTTCAATAATAATAGTACCCTTTCATACTTTAAAGGGATTATATAGTCTAGAAATAATAAGTTCCTTTTATTGCTATGATCTCTGTCCACTCCTTTTGATGCTTAAAAAGTTTCAGTCAATATAGTTTACTTACGTCATTTCCAGTGCCAAAAGACATCTCGCTGCAACTGCCCACTCCACTTCCATCTTCTTCAGCTAGTCTTTTGATGTCATACACATTCTTGTCCAATCCAATACTTCTCATAAGATATCGGCACTATCTTTAAACAGGAAATCCAGCTATTATGTAATTCACTAAAAAGGATTACATGAGGACCATATGGCTGTAATTAACAAGAAAAGTACTGCAAAATGTTACATGGCAATATTTATTTGCCCCGTCATGTTGAAAAACTGTGTAGAATGTTCGAACAACTGGAGATTTAAAAAAATATAAATCTTATTACTACTTTAATTTTTTTTCTTTTGAAATTTTACACCCCTAAGAATTTTGTGTCCAGTGAAACTGCCCCTGTAGCTCCGCCTATGCTATGCCTCTGCTGGTAGGTCCAGGGTAGGGAAGAGGGGCGAATTTCCAGAAGAAGCGGTTATCATGCCTGGCTGCTGCCAGGTGAGTTCTTACTTAAAGAGGTTAAACCATTCTCGAACAGTTTAACCTCATAAGTTACCTCCAGTGCCAGATCACCAATTCTCCAAATAGCGTCCAGCTTCTAAAATTGACAACCAGGAAGCCGGGGGGCTGCCTGGCAGAGTTACTGCTGATTGGCTAGTGCGGTCAATTGAGGCTCTAAGTCAATCAGTAATTCCCCATTTATAATAATAAAAAAAGGTACGTACCTATTTTATGGCACAACAGGAGACATGTGGCACAGCACATACTTAGGGATTTACCCAATGAGCACCCAAACATAGTACTAATATACAAACATTGAATGCAATGTGTCTCCCTACTCACATAGGTTAAAGTCAAAGCTGTGGGCTTTATTATTATTATTATTATTATTATGATATTTATAGAGCGCCGTCAAATTCCGCAGTGCTTTACAATGGGTGGACGAACAGACATGTAGTTGTAACCAGACAAGTTGGACACACAGGAACAGAGGGGTTGAGGGCCCTGATCAATGAGCTTACATGCTAGAGGGAGTGGTGTAAAATGACACAAAAAGGTAAGGATAGTATTAGACTAATGACAGTTGCAGAAGAGGAATCAGTCAGGAGCTATTAACAGTTTAATTGATACGCTTTTATGAAGAAATGTGTTTTTAACAATGTTTTTGAAGGTGTGGAGACTGGGTGAGCATCTAACGGAAGAGGGAAGCGAGTTCCACAGGAACGGTGCAGCCCTCGAGAAATCTTGAACGCGAGCATCAGAGGTGGGAGTACGGACAGAAGACAGACGTAAGTCTTCAGCAGATCGTAAGGGCCTAGACGGGACATACATGTGTATAAGGGAGGATAGATAGGTGGGAGCAGCATTATGTAGAGATTTGAAAGCAAGAACCAGAATTTTAAATTGAGCTCTATATTTTATAGGAAGCCAATGTAGGGACTGACAGAAGGGTGAGGCATGGGAGGTGCCTCACCCTTCTGTCACTATCGACGTATCCCCTGGTGAAAGTCTAAACTGCATATCAAAACATGTGCAACAGACAACTATTCTAAGAAACATGTAGTTTATTAAACCCTGCAAATGCAGAAGTCATGCCCTGATGACCGTGCACTTAATGTTTCTGAACGTGTGTTAACACCCAGCATTAACATTCTATCAGTTGATTACTGATGTCCTGCACAAGTTGGTCATACCACGTTTAGACTCTATAAAAGGAAAACTGTCATCAATGTTTATTAGACTTGAAAATAAAATACATTCAATTTTAGCATCTATGTGCAATATCATAATGCACACACATAGGTAATTGTTCAGTGCATTTCCTGGCTTCCACTTGTTCTATGTGGGCGACGATCCTCAAGTCTTCTTTGGTAATAAGTAGTCATTATTTTTTAACATATATTTCTTTTCGGACTTTATAAGAACATGTAGCTCATCATAGTTAACGCGCAGATGGGAAAAAAAATACAAGGAACCAAACTATTGCAACTTTTGTTTTTCACATATCGGTCATTTGCGGAATTATTTTGTCATTTGCATTTTGTCATTTCCTTATTTTATTGCAGTACTGCAATTACATTCACTGTATGGAGTTTTGATAGCCAAAGTGCAAATGGTAAAAATTGTTACTCGTTTTTGTGACTTTTTTTCCACATACCATTTATTTTTATGATTTTATTTCAGTTGCGGCCAGATAGTAAATTTTCTTTAAAAATGTAGAAACAGTATATTGGTTTCCATTTAGATTGCTCCTTATTTATCACCCTTCCCTAAAAACAGCACCTGTTTTATATGAAGGTACAACAGCAGTCCTCCACAGCTGCTGTTTATCATCACTATTATGTTTCGCTCTTAATCCTATATGTGTAATCACTAAAGGATCAAAGGCAGGTGTTTTCAAAGCCTCAGGCAACTATCTCCTTCCCAATGAGAAAAATAATCTACTAACAATTACACAGAGAACCTGCACAATACAGATCTATGTGTGTTACAGTCCTCCCCCCACCTCCCAATTGTTTAGAATAACTACTAAGCAAAGTGGCAGAGTAGGTACAGTGAAACGGCTGACATCACTGAAATTCTGTTCTGCTCCACAGCAGTTCATTCGGTAAAGGTAGTGGACATCATTCATTGGACAAGAGGAGTTCAGAGGAGGATAGGTCCACAGAAAGCGGCTGTTAAGCATCAGTTATTGTTGAACTTCTCTGTGAGTCTATTCTGAAACCAGGTGACAGCAAGAGATGGTAAGTAATAATTACTATTATAATCTGATTATGTCTACATTTTCAACACCCAAGTATTGATCATCATTATAAAAACACAGTGCTCAAAAGTCTGCATTTATTTTATTGATCATTCTTTTAAATAATATTTTTTTTATAAGTGTGTGAAATAAAATGTCTTCTTTTTAAGAAATACAATATTTTAATATTGCAATGTTCTCAATACGCTTCATAAATCAATTTTAAGATATTTTAGAGCGTTAATCAGAACTGCAGATGTTTTGACATTTGGTTTGACACACACATACACACACACACACACACACACACACAGGTGTATAATGACACAGATCATGACTTGTCTTATGAAACCATATAGTGTCATGATAACTTGTCAAAAGAGGTTATTCTAAAAAAGCGTGTGCCCACTTGTTTATCAACAACAGGCCTCTGAAGCATGTCTCATACAAAATAAATAGATATGTACATATTGTCTTTTATCAAACAGACTGAGATAAGACATAGAATGTCACTGGAGCTTAAGGGTTAATTATTTAATTAAAATAATAATTATAAAATAATAAGTAAAAAAATATTTTAATTATTTAAAATGCAAACAAGATAATGATGAAAAAAAGGTCATAGTAGTATTCTCATAGAACATGTGTCATGTCATACTATCGTGCAAAAAATAAATTTAAAAAATTGATTTACATTGATAATTCGACATTTAGCATGCCCAGCAATGACAAACCTCTTCATTACATGTTTTCATTGTTTCTGTAAAACTAATACTATAATAATAATAATAATTAAATACTATAATAATAATTATGATTTTATTTAAACCATATTCTGGATGAGTCAACATATGCTTAATAATCCAAACAGGTCAGTAATTTACCTATACAGGAAAACTGAGCAATCAACAAGTTTTAGCAGACAGTTTTAATTATGTGTAGAAGATATTGGTGGCAACAAGTTAGCATGTATAAGAATTGTCACACTAAATATTCCACAGGAGAGAAAAAGCCATAAACTATACAGGCACTGTCACTCTTGGGTGCCATTGAAAGCAAGTTAAGGAGGAGTGGGGGGCATTTGCCACATTTTGTCCTACGCTGCTGACACCTATGAAAACACAACTTGCTTCTTTAATGGTCCATATTTATTCTTATTTATTACTGAAAATGAAATCTCATGCTTTTTAATAAATTAGTTCCATTACAGAAACAATAATTGCTTTGTTTCTGCAACTAGACTCTAAGCAGGAGAGACGTGCAAAAAGGATAGGGGAGGGTGTGTGGAAAAGATGATACACCTCGTCGGGAGGCAAAGGCAAGGTAGAGAGAAAGTGATAGTGTTGGAGGAAGGGACAATTTAAAGGGACACTCTTAGCACAATAACTAGAACAGCTTATTGTAGCAGTTACGGTAAAGTCCTAGTGAAACCATTTTTGGGATGAAAAAACGTGGCTCTCCCCAATCAAAATCCAGTCTCTGTGCAGCTGCCAAGACAATATATATAATCCCACTTCTATATTCTCTGTACAAATCGTTACAGACTGGTTAGATATATTGGCTGTCATTGATGCTTAGTGGGTTCATTACTGGAACAATTAATTACACCTATTGTTATCACAATATGGAGCGGTATAAATTCAAATGCTGTCGCAGAATGGTTTAGAATTTTGTGAAAATCTCTTTATTTAAAAATTTTACATTCAAATGAACCCTCATTGCTCCTACGCGTTTGCTCATTCTCTGAGCAAAGCTAAAGATGGTTTACAAAATTTGCATTCATGTCCCCTGTACTTCCAGGTAAAGTGTAAACACAATGATTTGTTTCAAGATTTGCTTGATGTCGTCATGGCATTCATAATTACATTTAAGTGTGCATTCACTTATTATTGATTCTAGTCGTTAATTATAAAGATAATACATTAAGCTCTACCCTTTATTACAAAATGACAGTGAAGGTCATGTAGGAAAGAGAACAATATTTAGGGAATAGTAATATTCCAGAGGGTTTGCATATATAGAAACAATATACATTTTATATTTGCACTTTTAACAAATACTGTCATTGTGACTGTGGCAGTAAATGTCGATGGGAAAAAAATAAAGAATTAATTTTTGCACCTCTTTCTTAAGCATTATGAACATCAAAACTCTGAACAAAAAAAACAAACAAAACATTAAAACCGCACAAGAAAACAATGGCGCAGCGAGGTATTATTTGGCAGAAAGACATACTTAAATAGATGCAAATTGCAAAATACATCACAATAGACATATTAAAAGCAACTGCAACACGTTTAAGCCTATTATTAACCCTATATTTTTACATTGTGCTACTGAAATTGGCAACAAATATATAGCTTAAATAATATAGTTATTTAAGTGTGCACTGTATGTCTATAAAGCAAGCGCAATTAAAATAAAATTAAAATAAATGTATCGTACTGAATTCCAATCTAATGTACATAATGTTATCTGAAATCATATTGATACAAATGTAGTGATGTTTTCAAAGTGAGATCCATCTTCGTCAGGATTGCATTTCAAATACCAATCAATATTTGGCTGATGGGTACATAAAACCAATACAATCAGCTTCACTTTGTCATGTACCCTGGGACCTGAGGAGGGCATTGCAAGTGACACCTATAACAGGCAGGTCTGCCCACTTACTAAAACAACCATACAGGGAGCGCTGCTGGAGCAGTCTCTGCATGGTCCGCAGCAGAACGCGAGAGCATTGAATGATGTGCTCGCGTTATGCTTCCCGGGGACTGGGGACACCAGGGATTTAAATTGGGATGGCATGACAGGATCCTGAAAGCAGCACTGTCCCAGGATTGTTGGGTGGCATGTGAGATAAAACTTAAAGGATCACTATAGGGTCAGGAAGACAAACATGTATTCCTGACCCTATAGTGTTAACACCACCATCTAGCCCCCCTGAGCCCCTCATGCCTCCATAAATATAGCAAAATCTTACTGTATTCAAGCCAGAAGCTGTAGATCTGCATGCTGTTAGATTCAGAAAAACAAGCTGTCTGCTGACATCATCAGAAGTGGTAGCCTGATCCAATCACAATGCTCCCCTATAGGATTGGCTAAGACAGACAAGGAGGCAGATCAAGGCAGAGCCAGCATGATTCAAACACAGCCCTGGCCAATCAGCATCTCCTCATAGAGATGAATTGAATCAATGAATCTCTATGAGGAAATTTCAGTGTCTGCATGCAGAGGGAGGAGACACTGGATTTTTGGATGGATTTTAGGCAGCCATGACCCAGGGAGGATCTCTAACAGCCATCTGAGGAGTGGCCAGTGAAGTTATCACTAGGCTGTAATGTAAACACTGCATTTTCCCTGAAAAGACAGTGTTTACAGCAAGAAGCCTGAAGGTAATGATTCTACTCACCAGAACAAATTCAATAAGCTGTAGTTGTTCTGGTGACTATAGTGTCCCTTTAAAATTTGTGCGTTCCTCTCCCCCACAGCCATACCCCATTCCCCCCTTCTCTCTCCCCCACTTCACTGCTTTTTTTTCATCTTCCCTTTTGCCATAATCTATACATACCCTTAACACATTTAATCTCCAAATTCTTTAGTCTTCCATTCCACCCCCCTTTTGCCACTTTTGCCTTATTCATAATCATTTTGTCATATTCCCTAATTTGTTCACCTATTGTCAAATTTCCCCAATTCATGTCCTCTTCCTCTCCAGTCCTGCTGAGGTTCCCCATGGAATTAAGAGAGAGTTAAATGTGGTGAGTTTGTTACTTTAAAGTGCATTTTCCACGTTTGTGATACAGGAAGCAGGTCTGCAATGTGAGGTCCTATCCCATCACCTGCTTCCTGTTTGATATGCATCTGTCCAGGGATGGCAGGGTGGAGTTTGCGCTACCTAGTGCATGCCAGGTCTTCCAACACTAGACACCAGGAAAATAGAGACTATTGTGGCCCATCTCCTTTTCGCATAACACTGAGAAGCAGTTTGGAAAAAAATACAATGAATTATATAGGCATATGCTTGTTTCACTAGCCCAAGAAGGAGTTTAAGCACTTAAGCATCTGTGGCATCTCATTACAGATCTATTTAAATTGTGATATCGGGTCTGAGCAAGTTATTGGGGTAGTGACATAGTTACAAAGCTGAAAAGAGACTTGCATCCACCAAAATGGCAGTGAGATAGATCCTTGGATCAAACAGCTATTACCCCACTAATTAGAACATTATATCCCTGTATGTTATGTTTTTGGAAGTATTTATCCAATTGCTGTTTTAACATCTGATTGGACTCTGATCAAACCACTTCTTCAGGCAGAAAATTCCATACCTTAACTGTAAAAAAAATAAAAAAACCTTTTCTTTGCCTTAGATAAAATCTCCTTTCTTCCAACCTAAATGCGTGACCTCATTTCCTATATATAGCCCTGTTTATGAATAGATTTCCACACAATAATTTGTATTGGCCCTGGATATATTTGTATAATGTTATAATATCCCTTCTGAGATGATGATTTTCTAAAATAAAGAGGTTTAAATGTGTTAACCTTTCTTCATAGCTGATATGGTCCATTCCTATTATTAATTTTGTACTTTTTGGACTTTTTCTAGTGCCATAATATCCTTCTTTAGATCAGGTGCCCAAAATTGCACAGCATATTCAAGATGTGGTGTAACCAGTGATTTATAAAGAGGCAAATGAAAGAATGAATGCCCTTTTTTATGCATGACAATACCTTACTGGCCTTAGCCACTGGTGATTGACATTGTACACCGTTGCATAGTTTGTTGTCTATAACAATTCCCAAGTCCTTTTCGTGTGTTGTTATCTCTAATTTGCTTCCATTAAGGGTAAACGTTGCTTGTGCATTCTTTACGCCAAAGTGCATAACTTTGCATTTTTCCACATTAAACTTAATCTGCCATTTGAGTGCCCAGTCCCCCAGTCTATCTAAATCCCTCTGCAGCAAAGTAAAGTAATAATACAAAATCCAAATAGATCACATCCACTGCAACAACCTGATCTATACTTCTACTTACTTAGTTATTATTTATAAAGTGTCAACCTACTTCTTAGTAATTCACTAAACAATAATGACATCACATGTTTTGTGTATAGGAAGAGGTGATGAGGACACAGTACATATAAATTGCATAACCTAGTTACAGGGTTTATAGTATTTGTAGAAAAGAAGGAGAAATTGTGTTAGAGCCAACAACAAAAAAGGGGGTGAGGGGTTATCAGACAGATATAGAGATAGGAATAAAATGGTTATCCAATATGCTTCCCTAAAGAATTTGAGAATTTATTTAAGATTTGTTTAAAGGACAGCACACTAAGAGAAGGTCTAATGGGAAGAAATATTTCCTAATAACTTAGTAGTCCTAGAGGCATATTGTAAATGAAAGTGGAGTGCAGGGGTGGAATCCACAAACATAAGCCATTGGCAGAGCGAGGAACCAAGATAGACTGTACTTTACTAAGAATAAAGCAGTCATGGAAGGCACAATCGGTAACAAGGATTTACATTTATAATCTCAAATGCAGAATAAGAATACACAAAGTATTAGTGAACTACGTGGGGGAAAAGGTGAGGAGATAAACTAGGTACCTGCTTTTGTAATGGACTGTAAGGTGGAAATCTGGCCATGTATAAGACTGAAGAAGAGTAGGGTGCAAAGAAATAAATGGAAAAATCTGAATGTAAAGAGTTGTAGTTATGTTTTGTAGTAGAAAAATGGAAATATGAGCTATATTTTAGAGTAAAAACAGCAACAGAACATGGAAATTGACTGGATGTTAGGACTGAATGACAGGTCAGAACCAAAAAGCTGGCAATGTTTTAGTGGACTAAGAATCGGGAAGTCATCCAATCAGATGGAAAAGTTAGTTTGTGATGTAATCAAAGAAGCAAAATGATCTTTCTTTCTGAATAATTGGATTAACATTGCTAACAATATTCTTCATATTCTTACTACTCTCTATCTCTCACATGGACTTGGGCACACCTGCTCCATGTTCTTCTACTCTCCTTTCTTTAGTCCTGTTTCCTATTCTCTATCTCCACTTTTCTTTATTCTGTTTACATACTTTGTATCCAACTCCCCTCATTCTCTCTCATCATCCACCCTTCCCTACTAGCCCCCCTCCTTTCTCAACACTATAACCAAAGCACTGGGTAATGGCATCACCGGGATTTGGCACCACTCACTTCAGTGTTATTTTGATTTGCATTGCCATTCTCATGGGCATATTAAAGCCCTGGTGCCAATTTTATAGCCCCCTCCTTCTTCCTTTTTTCCATTATCCATCGACACTTTCACATTCCTCCTACCTACACTCATGGTATCTTTTATGGACTTCATCGTAGTTTCATCATAACTTAACAATCATTCATTCAACACTTTTTTAAAGTTGACTGTTTTTATTTGTACTCTTTCTCTGCTGACTCCTTACCAGAATTGATCCCTTTGCTTTCTTTTTTTCCCTCCTGTTATGTTCCCCTTTTCTAAATGTTATTAATTTAAAAAAAAACTAAAAAAGAATATAAAAAAAAAAAAAAGTAGCAGGATAATAGATTGAGGGATAATCTAATATCTTGGTGTCCTCAATATAGACTTTATTAGATTGCCAAGAGAACACGGTGACCAAATAGGTGGACCAAACAGAGCTTTGAGGAACCCCAACTGGGAGAGGCAGCATGGAGGAAAACCAGTAACACGAGAGAGCAGTGTCCAAGTTATAATAGTGAGATTCAGGCCCGGACTGGCCATCGGGCACACCGGGCAAATGCCCGGTGGGCCGCGGTGGCCATGGGCCGAGGCCGGCAGGGGAGGTCCCAGGATCTCCCCTGCCGGTCTATGCAGGGCCGGCGCTATCCGAGCGCCGGCCCCGCTGTGTTCCATGAAGGGCCGGTGGGGAGATCAAAGATCTCCCTCACCGGCCCACATGCATTCAAACGCGGCCGCCGGCGGGGAGAGAGGGAGGGAGCCAGCCGCCAGGAGAGAGGACCCGGCGGAGCTCTAACTTGCAGCTCCGCCGGGTTTCTCTCGCGAGATCCGGACCGTTGCTATGGCAACCGGCCGGGTCTCGCGAGAGTGAACTCTAGCCCCAAAGGGCTAGAGTTCACTAACCACGAGGACCACCAGGGATGGCTGGCAGGAGCACGACCCCCCCCCCCCTTCCAGACTACAGGTAAGAATAGAGGGGGTGGGGGGGATATAATGTATTTATTATTATGTATTTATTATTAGTATTTATTAGTATGTATTTAGTATGTATTTATTTTTATTATTTATTATTAGTATTTTTATTAGTATGTATTTATTATTAGTATTTATTATTATGTATTTATTTTTATTATTTATTATTATTATTATTTATTATTATGTATTTATTTTTATTATTTATTATTATTATTTATTATTATGTATTTATTTTTATTTTTTAGTAAAACATTAATAGTTCCATTTACCTGCCTCCCCCAATACAAAATCCTGGCAAACACACCCAGCACCCTAACACATACACAGCACCCTAACACCAGCACTCTAACATTGACACAGCACCCTAACACCAGCACCCTAACATTGACACAGCACCCTAACACACACACAGCACCCTAACATTGACACAGCACCCTAACACACACACAGCACCCTAACACCAGCACCCTAACATTGACACAGCACCCTAACACCAGCACCCTAACATTGACACAGCACTCTAACACCAGCACTCTAACATTGACACAGCACCCTAACACACACACAGCACACTAACACCAGCACCCTAACACACACACAGCACCCTAACACTCACACAGCACCCTAACACCAGCACCCTAACATTGACAGAGCACCCTAACACCAGCAACCTAACACACACACAGCACCCTAACACTCACACAGCACCCTAACACCAGCACCCTAACACCAGCACCCTAACATTGACACATCACTCTAACACACAGCACCCTAGCACTCACACAGCACCCTAGCACTCACACAGCACCCTTACATACACACAGCACCCTAACACTCACACAGCACCCTAACACCAGCACCCTAACATTGACACATCACCCTAACACAAGCACCCTAACATTGACACATCACCCTAACACACACACAGCACCCTAACACACACACAGTACCCTAACACATACAGCAACCTAGCACACACACACATCACCCCAACACATACACAGCACCCCAACACATACACAGCAACCCAACACACACACAGCACCCCAACACACACACAGCACCCCAACACACATCACCCTCACACACACATCACCCTCACTCACACAGCACCCTCAAATACACAGAACCCTCGCACAGTGCCCTAACACATAGCGCCCTCACACACAGCACCCTCAACACAGCACCCTCAACACAGCACCCTCACACACACATACTGCACCCCCACACACTGCACCCTCCCACACACATACTGCACCCCCCACACACACAGCACCCTCCCACACACACTATACTCCTCACAAATGCACACTACACCCCTCACACACAGCACCCCCCAAACACACTGCACCACTCACACACTCACTAGATACTCCTGAGTCCTTCAAACACACACTAGATCCCCTACACACAGATGCTGCACCACTTACACACACACTACATTTCTGACATACACACTCAGGATCCCCTATGAACACACTAGATACCCTTTAAGCAAACACATAGTGTCTCCATAAATGGGATACAGTGAGTATTCCAATTATGGAAACCCCTGAGACAAGTTTCAAGCAAACACAATGCAAGCATGTTATTAAATTTGCTTGCGCTGTGCAGATCAAATACAGGGCCCCTTTCTCATGCCCTGGAAGAGCATTGAACCAACATGCTCACTTTGAGATGGGGCGTGCTTGTCATTGGGGATGACAAAACACACCCTATCTGGTCCCGCCCCCTTTTCAGTGGGCCGCTGTAATTAAAAATGCCCGGGCCGAATTTTTTCCCCAGTCCGGCCCTGGTGAGATTAGGGGTGGTATCCCCTTTGCTGCCATAATTTCTAAAGTAAACTCACTGTGCACTCAAATCTGATTGAAAATGAAAGCATTCTTCATGTAAGCTCTGTGAGTAACAGCCAGGTGAGGTGTGGCTACAGCTGCATGAAACAAAACAAAAGTGATTTAACTCCTAAATTGCAGAAAATTGAATCTGCAGGGACATGATCTATGTACCAACACCGTTTTTTTAATCTAAGGTTGTTTTCATGCTTAGAGTCTTTCTTCGACATTCAAACTCACATTTAGGCTGATGATTTTAGATTCATTTAACTTTTACTGTGGTTCTGTATTTATTTTTATTTCTGATACGAATTATTTATTTATAAACTATTTTACCAGGAAACACAATACATACAAAATTTAACATAGAACAGGTAGGAAATATATAATCAACCAATACAGGCGCATTCTGTTTTGAGGTATGTAGAGAGGGATCTCTTAAAGGACTTTAGGCTTGGGGAAGATTTGAAAGTGTGCGAGAGGTTGTTCCGTAATTGCGGTGCTCTGTAGGAAAAGGAGGATCGGGCTGCTTTCTTTTTGTATTGAGGTAGACTAAATAAAGTGCTGGTACTGGATCAGAGGTTATAGGATGCTGGGGAAAGCATTCTGCAAAGGGAGGGTGGGAGTTTCCCAGAAAAGCTCTTAAACACAAGGCTGGAAAGATGAAGGGTGCATCTGGATTCCAGCGACAGCCAGTTTAGTTCTTTTAGCATATCACATGGTGGGTTACATTGTAATTACATTGTAGCACAAATCGTCAGAACGAGTTATACAATGTATTGAGTTTATTAAGGTGAGTTTGCGGTGCAGGTGCATATACTACATCCCCATAATCAATGATTGGCATCAGCATATTTATTGTGTGTAAGGGTTGTGAGTAATTTTTCTATTAGAGTTATTGAATTTACAGTGCCTTTTTTACTTGATTTTTTTTGTACTTTGTATTTTATCAGAATATTTAGCTTGATTATTTTTGAGTGGAAGAGATAAATTGGGGAAGTAGCCCTGTTCTGGCACTATGTTCTCTGGTGCTCTTCCTTTTGTGACCAAATTATTATTATTTTAGTAGACTGTCCTCTAATACCAGGCCTATAATTGTTATGTTGTATCTGTTGTTTCTGTCCCATTCTTTCAGACTGTGTGCAACACATGTGAAATAACATATAACTTGAATAATAAGTTATTATTAACATCTGAATAACTTATTTATCTTAAATTCATTTATTGAACTTATTTTTGAGAATGAATGGGGAAGAAGCCCTGTTCTGGCACTATGTTCTCTGTTGCTCTTCCTTGAGTGACCAAATTATTATTATTTTTTATTTTAATTTATTTCTTCACTTAGAAAACAACAGGCTCTCTGTTTCAAAGATGTAACTTTAATTTATGCCAACATATATAGAGATCTGCCATCATACCCTCTAGCCTCCCATTAACATTAAATATGGTCATGTTCTTTTTGCCTTTACTAATGTCCGCAGTTTATATTAAAACAGTCCCCCTCCAATAAATGCAGTTCCCAGAACGCAGGTGTTGCCTTGCCCTTTAGATGATCCTTGGCAAGCTTGGTGAATATCTTTTCATTATGCCATGTTCACATTCACTTACCTTACTGTGAATAGGCATTTTTTATCAAACAATGCGTAAGTCCTAAGTCTCAACAAGTGAAATCCAACCTTCAAAATGTATTCACTGTTAGCGTATTAAGAAACACAAATATGTTGGCCTCAAGCCTGGGTATCATTCATTCTTTTCACAAAGCTCTACTCAGTCAATTGGTTTTAAATTACTTGCCAGTCTTTGTGTATCAATTTCCTTTTTTCGAGTTCTTTTGCCTTTGATTGCTGAAAATTATTTTATCAAAAATAAATAGCAAGACTAAAGGGTTTAATATATATATATATATATGTACTGTACATATATATAAATAAGTATTGGGGGGGGCTATGGGACGTAAATGCCCTACCATGTGATAAAATGTACAGTATTCACTATAGTCACAGAGAAATCCCAGGCTTCTGTGTTGACGGACTGCATAAATCATTTCTGACATAAAAGCAGGCACTTCAAGCACATTCCAGGTAAGAACACAACACAAGTCATTTTGGTTTTAGCCTCATTTTCATGCCGTATTAATATCCACATTATTTAGATTTTTTTTTTAAATATATAACTTTGTAGCTTTCTGCAGTGTAACTCCACCCAGTTAGCCAATACTGCTCTTTTCACAAAGTAACTTCCTTATTAGATGTACTCAGCTCAGCCATTGAGAGGCAAGTAAGAGCTGAGTTAATGACATTACTCCATCCCACATTCAATAATGTTGCTTTTATTATCTGCCTCTTTTCTCTTAGCATGGTTTTGATATACTATACAAGATAAGAGTACAGTGATTGGTTGTGAGTGAAGTCAGCAGCTCAATCTCTCATTGGCTGAGCTGTACTATTTAAATTCCAACCAGTAAAACATTTTGTGGTAATGGATGGCATAGCTTAGGGGGCTTTAGCCCTGTTTCCTATTCTCTATCTCCACTTTTCTTTATTCTGTTTACATACTTTGTATCCAACTCCCCCCATTCCCTCTGATCATCCATCCTTCCCTACTAGCCCCCCTCCTTTCTCAACACCATAACCAAAGCACTGGGTAATGGCATCGCCAGGATTTAGTATCACTCACTTCAGTGTTATGCTTCCAAGATCTGCAACACATTTATATTTTTTCAGCAAAGGAGGAGATTTGAACAGGGAGAAAAACTATGCATTGATATTAGCCAAAATCTATCAAATGTACTTAAAGGGACACTATAGTCACCAAAACAACTTTGACTTAATGAAGCTGTTGTTGTGTATAGATCATGCCCTTAAGTCTCACTGCTCAATTACCTGCCATTTAGGAGTTCAATAACGTGTGTTTCTGTTTATGAAGCCCTAGTCCCAACTTCCCTGGCTGTGACTCACACAGCCTGCATGAAAATAATGGTTTCACGTTCAATCAGATGTAGCTTACTTTAAAAAAATATTTTATCTCCTGCACTCTAAATTGAACTTTAATCACATTCAGTAGGCTCCTGCAGGGTCTAGCACGTTATTAACAGAGCAGGAGATAAGAAATTGTAAATTAAATAGAATTTGAAACAAAGGAAGTATAAACATTAGATGACTTCAGAGGAAGCGTTAAGGAAGTCTGTGTAAGTCACATGCATGGAGGTGTGACTAGGGCTATGTAAACAAAATGATTTTACTCCTAAATGACAGAAAATTGAGCTATGAGACTGCAGGGGCATGATATATACACCAAAACTGCTTCATTAAGCTCAAGTTGTTTTGGTGTCTATCGTGTTGGGAATACAAATGTATAGTGTCCTGCTAATGCTATAGGCCATACCCCTACCATTTCAAATGTAAACATATTAGTTGACTTACTAATTATAACCTATGCAACTAAAATTTATTTTAGAACAAGAACAATGTACTTTATTGAAGATCAAGAAGACCCATTAAGGCTGATAACATTACAGAGAGATTGTATCCAAATGAGTTTAAAGGATACTGTTGAGCTAGGAGGGGGGAGGCAGGTAGAGTGGTAGTGCCATGAATACAGCTTTGTATTCCTGGCACTACCGCTCTACCTGCCTCCCCCTCCCTTATGCCCCTCCTCCCCGTTAAATAAAGGTTACTTACCTTTTCCCGGCGACAATGTCCAATGATGCTGAGTTGATGTGCTGCCCCCTCTGACGTCCCACGATGAGCAGGGTCTAATGCACATGTGCAGCAAATGCTGTGTGCACATTAGACCTCCCCATAGGAAGGCATTGAATCAATGCTTTCCTTGGGGGGAAAATATGACACTGGAGGTCCTCATTTAGAGCATGAGGACGTCCAGCGTCAGATAACAGACAAAAGGTTCTTTTCAATTCCCTCTAGTTGCTGTCCGGTAGACTGCTACTGAGGAGAGAGTTAAAACTGCAATGTATACATTGCAGTTTCTATGGAACTGTAATGTTTTACATTGCAGCACGAAGTGTAAAAGGGACCACTTCAATGAGGTGAAGTTGTCTGGGTGCTTACTATGTCCCTTTTATTTATTTACACAAACAGGCAAAGGAATCTGCTTACTATTGCAAAAATCCATAAAATACACAGTATTAAATGTCACCTTGGTTTCTGTTTCCATTTTCACCGTGGGTTTTGGCAGTCATCTCCATAATGGGACATGTTAAGATTTGGGGGTTTTTTGTAATGGGAAGATATAGAGAAAGAAGAAGATCTATAGTAAAACTATGCACCTTCTCCTCAACAGAAACGAAAATGATAGAAAAATGAGAGTAACGCGGGTTCAATGAAATGTTTAAGAGGGACAGAAAACGGGTTAAACAGATTGTGAAGAAGATTGTGAAGCATGTTAAAGAAGGCTCTGATGTTGTTTAAAGGGACACTGTACACACCCAGACAACTTTAGCTCATTGAAGTGGTCAGGGTGCAATGTCCCATGTCTCTTAATCCTACAGTGGTAATTATTGCAGTTTCTGAGGGACTTCCTAGAGGGACTTCCTGAATTGAAACAGACCTTTGGTCTGTTATCTGATGCTGGACATCCTCACGCTCTGCAAGAGGACATCCAGCGTCAGATTTTTCCCTATAGGAAATTCCTAATGAGAGCGCGGCCATTGTCGTGCAGGCGCGTTAGGTCTTAGGAGGAGCATGGGCGAAGCCTAACCCAGCACCGAGGGACATCAGGGCTGGATTTAAGTAAGTGACTGAAGGGGTTTAACCCCTACAGTGTTGCGGGTGGGGGGCGGGAGGAGGAGGGTGTTAGGCAGGGGGCACTGTAGGACTCTATAGTGCCAGGAAAACGGCTTTGTTTTCCTGGCACTATAGAATCCGGTTAAACACACCCAATATCTTAATGCCAGTATTTGACTTTGCAGTTTACACTATAAAAGCATTACTTTAAAAAAATTTAAAAATTTTACTGACTGCAGATTAAAATCCGATAATTTTTAGACCTTCTCGTCCCTTTGGCTGCCGGCACTGAAACAATGGGCTCTCCGTGCACAGATCAAGCTGACAGTATGAGGAGGGAGCATGCATGTTTTATATGACCTGGACCTTCTTGCCTATCTTCCTCCAGCTACGTCCATACTCTGTCAGTTTCCTAGCTGGATTTGTACATAAAACCGCAGAGCTATAGGAGCAGTAGTTGACCCGCCGGCCATACATTGGCTGACATTGTCAGCTGACCTCTTTCAGCCCATAAATGCAAGTCTGCGGATAGGAACATTACACTTCTGGCAGCAAAGTAACTAACCTTCGTATGTGCAGCATTCCAAAGCGAAACACTGAACATACAGACTCCAGGCACCATGACCACTTTAAATCAATGAAGTGGTTATGGTGCTTCGAGTAACCCTTGAATGAGCAGAATTCTGCAGAACGTTTAGCTGTTTTTTTGTTTTTTTTTGCAAAAACCATGCATAATGGAAAATACAGCATATTCTTTAGGTTGAAAGCTTTAAAATGAATCGAGTTATATTGATGCTCAGAGTGTCCAGTGTTTATCTATTCTATTTAGATCTTGTTCCAGTGTATTAAAAATAAATCAAACAACGTGAAATTATCTATTTCTGATATTTAAGTTTTTTTATTAGTGTGTGCTTTCCTTCTGACGCAGGCATCAGGTGTTCGAGTTGATGATTCTGTTATCCAGCTATTTCAAGAAATGAAGCTCATGAGATCTGGGAAAAAAGCTGTGTTTTTTGGATTCAGTAAAGATGAGAAATTCATCATTGTGGAGAAAGGAAAGGAAATTCTTTCACGAGACTGCAACGGGGACTTCTTCTCACGTTTAAAATCAATGTTTCCGGAGACCAAGTGCAGCTACGCTTTACTGGACATAGATTACATAACTGGTGAATCAAAGAAGCAGGACCTCATTTTTGTATTATGGTAAGTTAAAAACTACCATCCATGTTACAGTATGAAAAAAAATCCACGAATTAATATTTACTGAATCAAAATGTAATTGATGCAGGTTTTATTTTAACTTTTATGTAGAGAAGTCATGTAAATGAGCCTCCAATTTTATTTTATTTTAAAAATTGCCATATTTTATATATATAAAATATATATTTATTTATTTATTTATTTTTTAATTCAATTTAGGTATTTACTAAAGGCAATTTCAGGGCAAACTCAGAATGTAATTCCAAATGTACAAATGCAATTCAGAACAGTTATTTTTCTGATAAGAAGAAGAAATTGAATCAATGTTGACCTTAAATTTGTGCATTCAGAGGCAGATCATTTAAAGAGAAACTTTGACTTCATAGAATTTTTTATATTATGTTTGCTCATCCCCTATTTTACCAAATATATTTGTGAGCTATAAAAAATAAAACCAAATGTAGAAATTCACACGTCTTTACCCTGCCACTGCGCGCCTCCATCTTAGCTCCCTGTCAGTCATCGCTATTAGCTCTGACCTCTGCACCCAGCAGTGACCATAGACAAAGTATACAGAGAATAGAGAAATTAAACAATGTGTACATTGGCTGTGCCTGGACTGAACTCATTTGCTTAATCTTTAATCGAATTTAAGGGGAGGGGGAATGGACCATATCAAGAAAAACAGAGTTACTGGTGTTTTTAAATGTTTTATTCAGTGGTGCTACTCGAGTGATTGAGTTACAACAAATAAAAAAGTAAAAAAAAGAGCCCACACTGTATCCCATAATAACAACGATGTTATCAAACTCCCCTACTTCATGTGTCAAAGGTGAAGGGTATAAACTGTGCATAATAGCCCCTATAAAGGCCAAAGGCTTAGGTTGCAGATAATTCTTTATGCCTTATTCAAATCGAGGTCTACAGCACAGCTGGACTGTTATTAGAACATATTTTTATCTATATATCCCAGAGGAAGCTCCAAATTTGTATAGAGCCATCCATTTCTGAATAATGTGTTCTCTTTAACCCCTTAAGGACACATGACATGTCTGACATGTCATGATTCCATTTTATTCCAGAAGCTTGGTCCTTAAGGGGTTAAGACTGTTTTATGCAGTATTAGCAGCAGTTACTATTTTAAGGGACAGAATAAAAGTATTACAATTCAGGTTATGGTACAAGGAGGTCACCTGTTCCTGTCGGTCTGCGTTTTGTGTCATTTAACTGAAGTGTTTTATCGTACACTCCATGGCTGTGTATATGTTGTATGGAGTCTTTCCACAGAGTGGACAGTGAATAATTTGTGGCTGAGGAAGCCCTTTTTGCAAGATTACATTTATGATTTCGTTTATGGATAAACATGAATGGAGCTATCTCTAAGGTGATATATAATGGTAATGTCGGGATTGTAAGACTTTCAACTACTTGCTTTGTATTCCTAAATTTCAAATACAGCTTTGTATTCCTAAATTTACAGTGTTTCTTTAACCCTGCAATGTAAACATTGCAGTTTATAGACATACACATTTATATATAGTTCAGCTAGATATTTTCAAGATAATACATGCTGTGATTTAGAAAGATGCAATAAAACCAGCCTTGAATTGATGTAACAGGTATGGACAGGCAGGTGAACAATTATGACTTTGAAAACACCCAGCTAATCTTTAATTCCCCAAGGAATCGGTAGGCCCCCATGGGCCATGCCCAGGTAAATGCAGCTTTCTCCCATGACCATACAGAACACAGTCAGGCATGGTTTAGCAGTGTTTAGAATTATTCTTTTAACAACTGCCTCATGTGACACAGTAACAGTCACACTTGTTATAATGCAAAAACTCTCAGGGATTTTATCAGCTCTTTTCTAATTGTGTCACAATCAAATAATTAAACTACTCATAGTGCTTGAGGGATTTTATTTATTAATCTCCACTGCCCTTGAGAAAAAATGGCCGTAAATGAGTCTGTTTACAAATCGTTGACTAGATCTAAATGATCTCCCATGGTTTCTTTCCTCGTAACATACGGAGAACCACCTTGGATATTTACAAAGATAAGTTCAGGCTAATCCAAATGTGACTTACCCGTTTACAATAGAACGTGGCATTAAGCCAGGTGTAATGGCAGATCTGTTGAAAGCTTCTCTGAGCAGCCGGTCACAGGGGAAAAAAAAATGAAACTTGAGTTCTCACAGACTAATTCTACACGAGTTCACTAAAGTTATATTACATTGTCCAAGTTTCAGCTGCCCAGCATAGTTCTCAGAGTTTGGTGAAAATTAATTTAAGCTTCTTGTAACCAGAGGAATTTATAATACAAAAACCATTATTTTGTACAAGAAAAAAATATTGTTGTATGTTTATAAAAAATAGATAAAAATAAAAGTCTTGTCTATTAAAGAAAGTAGTCCTTGTTGTGCCTGACAATATCATTTGATTGTGTTGTAATTTAAAAATGTTTTAATTCTTTAATTTTTGTTATAATGCATTTGAAGTGCATGGGTGCTTGTGAAGGTCTCAAGCAGTGCAATCAGGTGGTGCTCTTAATGGTGTCTTTATAGTAGGCCATATCAGACACAATATTCTTGCGTAGATCTGCCAACATCCACTGGCACTGTAAACAGGTCTCCGGATTTAGAAGGTTTGGCTTTATGCTCCAGGAGGAGGTTGAATGATGCCCCCTCGCCAGCATTGATAAACAATTTCTCAGATGAATAAGAAGATAGTTGGTCTGCCAGCTCCATCTTGTCCCATTCGGTCTTTTGCAAGCCCCGCAACTGATCTCCTATATCCTTGCTGGTAGGGACTTTATTGGCTCTTGATTTATTTTTGTTTTTTGGCCCATTATTCTCACCTATATTGATTGCAAGATGTGTTATAGATTTAGAGCCCAGATTCCACCATAAAACTTTGTTTTCCTGGGGGGCGTGGCTTGACGGCTCACCAAGACGGTCGCATGAGCGGTTAGCTCCGTGCGACACCAACCCTGCACAGCGAATAGAGAAGCAGTGGGTAACCTAAAACCACACACAGACACACATCGATGCCCGTGACCACCATGGCATCTAAATCAGCCAAGAAGCTGAAGCATAAACAGCCCGCGTTGCTAGTTTCGGCGCTGACACCGCCACGAGCACAGGCCCAAGATGGCGCCGACGCGCCGCACTCGCCATCCGCGTACTCAGACCGCAGCGACCTTACCTGTATTTCGGAACCAGCGGAGACACCTGCAACCGACCTCTCCATCCACAAAATGTTGCAAGCTCTGCAGACATCTCTTCAGGCCGACATGATGAAAATGTCGCGAGACATTAAAACGGAAATCCAAGCGCTTGGAGACAGGACAGCGCACCTCGAGGACAAGACAGATGAGGTTATCTCTGCCCACAACACCCTGGCAGATGCCTACACTGAGTTAAGAGACAAACTGGACTGCCTCGCGGGTAAGGTCGCGGATCATGAGGACAGGGATAGGCACAGTAATATACGCCTCCGCGGCATCCCTGAGGAGGTTCTCCCTCAAGACCTCCATACCTATGCTGTACGCCTCTTCCAGGCCTTGGTTCCTGACCTGACACAACAGGAATGCCTCATCGACCGCATACATCGCCTACCGAAGCCTAAGTCTCTCCCAGCTTCAATCCCGAGGGACACCATAGCGAAACTCCATTACTACACCAGCAAAGACAAAGTAATGAGGGCTGCAAGGACCTCAAAGGCTCTACCGGAAGAATTTGCAAGCGTCCACCTTTTCACTGATCTTTCTGCTGCAACCCTGCTGAAGCGAAAAGAGCTGGCCTGCATCACCAAATCTTTGAGGGACGCCAATGTCCCCTACAGATGGGGATTCCCAACCCGCTTAACCATCCGCCGCAATGGCGTTGATCGCCATATCACCTCAACCGACGAAGGACTTACGCTCCTGAAAGAATGGGGCATCACCCCATCGCAACCTCCCCAGCAGAATGCCCAGACGAAGCTGCAAAGATCACGGTTCCCGAGAAAGATCCCGACAGATTGGAACGTGATGTCTGCAGATAAGTGAAACGAACTGACACTCTGTTTTCTAACATAGTGGGGCACACTAGCCTAACACACTCACCCGTCAGGGTCATGGACTATACTTTTTTTTTTTTTCCTCTCTTGGGCTCTACGCCACGCTTTGTACTGTTTTTCCACCTTGCCTATGCCGCACATACACTTATTAGGTGATCGGCCGCTGAGGCTGAGCCTTGCTGCCATGCCCGGGCCTTAGACCTGGGCCCGGCCATGGCAGTGACGCACCGGTTATAGCACAAACAGTTCTCTATACAATCTCTATGTCCCGTTGAAGTTTAATGTCTGCTGTATTGTTTGTATACATAATGCTCCGCCCCCACTCCCGCAAGACGCACTTGCCTGACACTGACACCGCTACAATGGCGGACGCACTGTCATTATACATCAACATGAGCCTGGCATTGCCTCACTAGCCTCCTCTGTGGCACGCGCACGGTAGGTGGTGGCCAGGCAATCTCAGTAGGTGGCACCTCAGACAAGCAATTGGGCATCATGCTCTAACGTTGTAGGATACTGTCCACATGCTACCACACCCACCATCCTCATTGGGCACTGTGTTGGCTAAGGGCACGGAAACGATGAGATCGCCCTCTACTGTCCCACCCGGACTCAATACTACCCTCTCAACTAAGCTGGGATCCCCCAAGGGTATAACATGGTGAACGGAATTGAGGTTACCCCTCTTTACTTAGCTCATCAGGGTGGTAAGACCTGTCAACTCCCACCACCCCCCTAGGCTCAACCGAGCCCTCTCAACACCGCCTATGCCCCAGGGCGCTCCAACCGGCGTTTTTTTGTATATAGTTCTCTATTATCACCTGTTTCAACATTCGATATGTTTCTGTTTTCCCCCCTCCCACCCTCTTCTCCCCAAACAACGTATACACGTTATCAGGAAAGCACAACGACCATATAACGTGTTAATAACAAGCTCTGTTGACATTTT